TAATTAAGCTGTATTTGGATGTAAAAAAAATATGAAATTTCAAGCAGACTAAAGAACAACCTACCTCCTTGAAATTTTGGATCGAAAGAACGAGTTGGCATCGTAACACATGAAAATGGCTGAGAAAGCCACTAAGGGACATTCTGAGCTTTCGATTGGTTAATCACATGTCATATATTGAAGTAACTGTATATACCTAATAATAAGGGACTGTTTCCCAAAAGGGAAAGAGGTTAGCGGGGTCACTGTGTTTGATTCAGTACATAAGTGATATCTCGGCAAGTAGAAGAGATATGAGGTCCTTATTTTATATTTTAGCTTGTCAATGTTAGTAATTTGAGTTCCTAATTCATACAAAACTATAGGCTTAGTATTTTGACATCAAAAACATCTAATTTGAACCAGTGCTGCATTCAACATACCACGTGACACACAAAATCAATGTTTAACTGTACTTTTTTAATATTTAGTTTTAAATTAAGAAATTAGATAATGTATAATACTAAAATTTGAATTATACTCTACAGTTTGAAATAGTAGTTCAAAAAAATTTTGAATGCAAGTCAACAAACATGATGACATGGCCTTTGACCCATGACCTGTCTGGAGAGGGTTAACATTAGCACAATGGTCATAGGAGTGGTTGAAATATTGTAATAAAATCAAACAATAAATAGAAATAAACAATCCACTCAAAAGCTGTACTTTAGACTTTTATTTAAAGTGTACAGTGGATTTATTCTCCTCACCACAAATATGAAGAGAATTAGGGTCAAAGAACATAACCCCCATCACACATTTACAAACACAGCACATTGAATAAACATCCAATTAACATTAGCATAATGGTCACAGGAGTGGTTGAAACATTGTAATAAAATCAAATAAAAAATATAAATAATCTGCTCAAAAGCTGTACCTCGAGACTTTTTGTGGATTTTTTACTCCTCACCACAAATATGAAGACCATTCCTATGAGGCCTCAGATCAGTGTGTTCTTTGGCTCTATGCCTGCTTATCTAAGTAGTGAGGTAACGATTTATTGTGTACTTTTTTATTATTAAAGCATGCAATAAAAACAACATTAATAGAAGAAAAATAAAACTAGCATTAATTGTTTGTGAACTAAAACCTAATTTAAATCAAAACACGGGTTTTACCCTAGAATTTCTAAATTGGAACAAAATGCTTGCACAATATTTCAAACAGTAGACCACAGTTACCTGCTGATGGTCACATGAGTGGTTGAAACATTGTTATGAAGTCAAACAAAAAGTAAATAATCCACTGAAAATATGAATATCTGGTATTTTATTTAAAGGGTATAGTGAATTTCCTCTTCTCACAACAAATATCAAAACATTTCCTATGTGGCTGCAGATCAATGTTTTCTTCAGCTTTATTCTTGTTTATTTAAGCAGTGAGGTAATGAATTTTTGAGTACTTTGTTTTATGATTACAGTATGTAATATATTAAGATATTTATTAAAAGAGAACAAAAATTAAATAAATAAAAAGGTAACATCAGATACCACTGGTTTATAATATACCTGTCTCTTCAGATAATGGTTCTCAGCTATTTATAATGTGTAAAGTCACATCAAAAACAACATGGAAATAAATTTTCTCTGCAAATTTTATGTTAAAACAATGTTTTGTGTCATTTAAGTCATATAAAAAATATCCTATATAATTGAAGCAAAAAGATATCTTATTAATAGTAATAATTATCTTTCTTTAACAGGAGAGAATTGTAAAATCTGGAGGGTTTATTAAAACAGACAGTGTTGGGAGACACTTGGTAAATGGACGACTTGCCATGACACGTAGTTTGGGAGATATGGATCTTAAACCATATGGAGTAACAGCACTCCCTGATACTAGGTCAATTCAAGTAAGTAAAATTGGAATTTTTAAATAGGGATGCACCAATATATCATTAGGATATCTACCTGGCTCCAATATAAGGAAAAATTACCTTAACAGCTATCAGCCCTTTTTGTTGCTGTAGCCAATAATGTGCACTTGTATTTTTGCTTGTTGTTGCATAAGATGTTGTGATGCTCACTGCTTGAACTTTCTATTTTTCATATGATAACCAAAGAGGGCATTGCTACACAACTCTCACCATGGCCATGTACAATTCTATAAAGGCTGTCAGTTTCAATGTTGTTAATTGTTGCAATTACTAATCTTTTTAATATTAAACTTGTTAAATTAGTACAGTAATGTGTTTGTTTTAGGTTTTTTAGATTATAAGCATTTGAATGTAAGTTTAAAGCAACTCTTCAATAATGAGATTATTTTGAGAAATGTACCAAATTTTATTTTTCCATACATTTTTAACGTTGCTGTCTGATGTAAATATGTCTCAACAGAGTGTGGTTTGTAATTTTTTTTTAAAGTGTCTGAAAACAACAACAGGACAGCTGATTTCATACTATATGATGTAAAAATTTCTCATGGAGGTAACACTGATAAAGATTTCAACACAACACCATGAGATATGCCACCCTGCTGAATACAGTGATTTCTTAAAAATGGCAAAGGAAAAGAAAGATGCAGAACTGGAGATTATTGATTCAAGTACTAAAATGTTCAGAGAAAACAGACTGTGAAAATCACAGGAAAAAAGCTTATGTAGGCACTTTCACTGATGACCATTGTGCATGGGGTAGTGGATTCTCTTATGCAGTCAGGACCTTCTGCTCCAGTCCCTCCTTCAGGCATTCTTTGTCCTAGTTTTGAGGGAAGATCGAGTAGGTCAGATTTGTTTGTTTCTTCCTCCTGGTTATGCTTTGGGAACTTCTCTTTCTGTTGAAGAGAAATTGATCTTTCTTGCATTATCACGACTTAATTTCACAGGTGTGTGTGCCATTCTTTTTCTTTCCTCTGTGTCATCTTATTCTTCTTGTTGCCTACTTCTTAATCCTATTCCTAACTAATTTCATATACCTTTTCCTTGACCAATTAGATTCCCACAACTTCATGCTTTGCCCTCCTCATATATATCTTATTTCATTAATTTTAGTCATTCTGAATCCCCTTTCTTTGTTTCCACATTGGGCACTGCCCTTGCCTGTGTTGGGGGGGGGGGGGCGTATTTGGTGTCATGATTGCCCTCCAGTGCTCAATACACCTATCTTTGCCTGACCCTTTTGGCTAAACTTTACCTCTTCTTTCTACATCTCAAGTCTGAGGCACTCCACCATGCCCCAGAGAATATTGCAGGCAATTCTCATTCCCTTCACTTCACCGCGGTGGCTCGTTTCACTTCTACCATATCCCTGCTCACTAGACTCATTGCTGCTGGAAATTGTTGAGTAGAGATACTCTCCTTTTCCAAGTTTGTCCTCTTTCTTTCCTTCTACAAGATCTCTGCATGGCCCTTCTTTGCCCTGAATTTATTTGGGTATTCCTGATTTGAATGAATCACAGGCTGAGGCTGCCTGTCATCAATCCTTGCTTTCATCCTTTGTTTCCACAGTGTCCCAAACCCAACCCTCCAGCAATGTACCTCAACTTAGTCCTCAGTCTCCTTTCTTTCGATTCCAACTTTCTTCTTCTACCTGGTGTCAGATTCATCGAGTTCACCAGTGACAATTGAGTCGGGTCCTGTAAGTACCAAGCTATCACACTTTTAACTTCTGTGGTTACATTTTTCCATCCACACAGGTGTTACTCTACCTTTTACCCTTGGACTTTCTCTTTAATTCTCCTCTCAGCCCTCATCAAGTTTCCTTTTCCTCCTTCTGATCCCATCTATGTACAATTTCTCAAAGGGGCAGTGTTCATCAGCTCTTCCAAAAATTTCCTCACTCCCACTCAATATCTTATTCACCTGGGAATGTTTTTCAAGTGATTTCTCAGCTATACTCAGCCTTCACCCATCTCATTGCAAGCTATGGAACTTCCAGTTACCAGGATTTGTGCCTATCCTACTGATACTGTGTGAGAAGTTTTATTAGTGTTTGGAGACCATAGCTTGACTGGAACTGCTCCCTTTGGGTTGCACACACACATGCACCACCTTTGTTGGTCCTTGAGCAAGCAGAGAAGCCTCTAATGAGAAAACTTTTATCTCAGTGGTTCATCTGTCCCCTCCTCTGATTTGTAATGGTAACTGGACTGATCTAATATCAACATTAGTTTTCCATTACCTCAACCCAAACTGGACCTGCACCTCTTCACCGCTGCTTTCCCCTTTAAATGGGGAACATGTCTGAATGGCAATTTCACATCTGGCACATTGACCCAGGATTAGTTCTCTCTCCATATCAATGCATTTGAACTTCTGATAGTCTATTGAGCATGCTCCCATTTCTTATATTGGATCATTTTGTTATTATCCATTCTGACAACTCCTTGGTTTTTCCTGTATCAACTGTCAAGAGGGAACCCAATCCAGAAACCCTTGCTTTTAAACCCTGGACCTTCCTTATTGGGCCAGATCTCAATGGGGTCATCTCATCATGTGCCATGTACCTGGTGCTATGAACTTGATTGCAGACTGCCTCTTTCTCAGGTGGACTGTTCTGCTCAAAGAATGGTATCTTCACCCCCATGTTTTCCTTTGGAATGGTTTCTCTTGGAGACTCCACTCATTGATGCCTTCCTACGCCTCTCATTTCCAAGATTCCTCTCTTCTGATCACCTATACTCCAATCCTTGGTCCTGGCTGTGGATGCTTTCAGCTAGGACTGGTCTTATCCTGCTTGCCCACCTCTTTGTCTTTTACCACAGGTCCTGACCTTAATTTAAGACACTTCTTGTTGTGTCCTCTGGGTAGTACCCCTCTGGCTGGCTCAACCTTGGCTCCCTATTCTATGCCATCTGACAACCCAACCCACTATTCCCCTTCCAACTTTCCTCTCTCTCTCTCTCTCTCTCTCTTACTTCAATCACACGTCTATTGTTACTATTAGTGGGTACTTCCTTTTCCCTCCTACTTTTCCTTTTTTCCTTTCCTATACCTGTCATCCTTCTAACTCATTCATCTACCTGCATAAATGGCATGTCTTTGACGTTAGTCCATCTGTTGCTAACTTCTTCTTGAATGTCCTTCTATGAGCCATCTCTCTTCTTTTTACCTGGCTGTTTAACAGTAGATCAGCTGTATCCACCCTTGCTGATAATTATCAAGCAGCCTCATCTACAACATTTCACCTTTTTGACACTGCAAGATGTTTCCTTCCCCAGTTCTCTCCATCTTGTTCTGGTCCTTCCTTATCTATAGACTCACTTGCCCTGTTCACATGCCCAACTGCAACCTTAATGTCATCCAGCATGCTCTTATCCATACCTCTTTTGAGGCATTGACAACCTGCAACTTTTACTACCTTTCTCTTAAGACCTATTTCTACTTACTTGAGTAAGGCCAAAGGGGATTGCTGCCCATCCCTTTCACTCCTTTGATTGAATAAATCAGAAGCAGTCTGCTTTTCAAACTAGGATTTCACAGTCACCAATTGCACTTTCTTCAGTGTAACATTCCTCTGGACTCCTCATTGCTTTTTACCCCTCCCTTCCTCAAGTGGAGTTTGGGAGTCCACTGGGGTGGTGGACCATGGAGGCTCATAACATTACATATCACTACACTATGTTGAGAAGAGGGTAAAGCTGGGAACCCTTCTTCTTTCTATCCCCTGGAAGTTTAATCCCAGGTGTGCTGATGTTGGTGGAAACTGGACCAGCCAACACTGGATTCTCCTTGTAATACTGGGATCAGGTAGATAGCACCCTATTTGTATGGTTGAGACTGGTAAACACCCCCTTGGTAAATCTAGTTGCAGAATGTTTCATTTCCCTGCTCTTATAGTGGAGTTCAGGGGACTTTGTCCTCCTTGTAATACCAGTTTTGGGATGCATGATGCCCTGTTCCAACTGTTAAGCAGCCATTCCACATCCTCTTTGTAATGCTGGGTGCATGTTATTTCTTCCCTGCTGTTAAAGTTGTTAGAATGGTTCTTTTCCAGCTTGTAATACCAGGTACAGAATGTTTCCCTGTTCTTACAGTTCAGTTGAGGCTTAGACACAGCCCCATAAGTCTTCATTTGGTTTGTTGTACTTTCTGTCTGCTATGGTTGATTTGGAAGTTTGTCCAGAGGATGTCGTTTGCATATACTTCCTCATTGTAATTCCAACTGCTCACAGTATAACTCTCTACTTATGGGATGGATTAGTGTATATATATTTCTAATGGTCTGCTTGCCTTGGTACTGGTTTGGTTTTGATCTTACGTGAGGTCCCCCACTTCTTAATACCAAGGCCGGATGTAGAGCCTCATCTGTATGTTTGTGGTTGAGTAGATAATTAGCAATGTCTCATTGCATGTCTCCATCTTCATCATTCAGTGAACTAGCCACTGGCTTTTCATTTTTCCTGTGTAGGTTTGGAGTTATCTATCTGTGTTCTTATACTACTGGAGTCGGTTTGTTTCCGGTCATGTTTTGTGGTTAGTATGGAGTGGGACTCACGTTGATTATTTACTCATGATACCATGTTTTCTGAGGTCTTTCTTTTACTAGATCCAGGCCTTGATGATGTCCATTTCATGACACTACACTTCTTCAAGGGCAAAGATCATACCTTTTCCAGAAGTGGTATGATCCTCCACATGTGTGCTTCCATTCCATTACAGTGCACACCTGATCAATTCTCTATAGATGTGTTCCACAGGGTGTCACTTGTTTTATCTTACACTGGTCCCTCCACCTACTGAATGTAGGATTTGTGCTATAGCGTGAGAAGAGGTATTTATTGTATCGGAAGTTATCATTTTCTTATACTGAAAATAGATTTCTAATAGATACCTCTAGGAGAGTGTGTTGTGCTCCCATTGATGGAGGGTTTTCACATGCTCTTTGCATGCAAAATGAGCAGCTGAAACTTATGGGATATATTGGCTAGGGCATGAAGGAAGAAAATTTATTTTTAGTGCATTAAAGGGCAGTGAAAGAACAAGAAAAGATACTATGCGTGAGGAGGTAAATATCTATCAGAAATCTTTTTTCAATGTAAGAAAATGTTACCACCAGGAGGTTGGAAGATAGGATAAACTTTCTCTAAAGACACTATCAAAATAACCCTTAGATCAAATTCATTGTTTTAAAGTATGCTATTTATTGATCTGTTTTTATAGAAGGTGTTGAAAAATAAAAAGTTTAAACTGATATTGATGAATATATTAATATTTTCACTAGTTTTGACTACATTTCCAAACAGTTAGTATCATCAGGTGATGGTGTTTATTATACCCTATTTTGGCTTCAGGCACCTGGGCTTTAGATTATATATGTAACATTAATATAAGATAGCTAGTATATTTAATTAATTACATATAAGCTACTAAATGTTCTGATTGAATATATTCAGAGGAAGATAATGTTTATAGATTTTGATGCTTTCAATTATTTCTTACTTTGGTAAAGTATGTGCACTTCTTGTGCTTCTGATAAGATAAACAAAAATTAAAATTTACAGAAACAATAAAAGTATTAGTTTATCACATTTTGTGAAACATACAATGAAAAATGATGTGGATATATGTAATTAAGCATATACTTGAAAAAAAAGATGAAACCAGGCCAAATACAATAAAAAATGAACATAAAATATATTTACAACTGCTTGTTGAAGCCTTGAAGAAAGATTAAAAACTGTAAACTCAGATAAAATGTTTAAAGTTTAAACAGTGCAAGTTGTGGCAAAAATTCTTATCTGATGTCAAAGAAATGAAATGCTTTTTACATGTATGAAAAAAAAAGGAAGGATCCAACTTCAAATACATGATAGGCTTTACTAAATAATGTGCTACTCACTAGAAATTGGGCTGATCTTTTCAAGGTTTACACAATACATTATGACTGTTAATATGCCATTGCTCCTTGAAAATAGGAACATTTCTCAAACATTATCTCCAGTTTTACACAATATGTCATGATTGTTGATACACTATTGCCATTTAGTAACAATAACATTTCTTAAGCATAATCTTCCTAAATACCCTCTTTTTTTTTTAAGAAGGAATATAAATATTGTATATTATATTCATTTTGAATATTTAAAAAGAAATAAAATGAATCAGGTAAACAAACACATTTATAGTACAAATTCATCATCTTGATTTGTACCACAAGTGTGCTGTAGGACTGAAATTATTTTAAAGACGATGTGATAAAACTAAGTATCTCTCTAAGAGTCATTGTTTTATTTATTATTATGTTTTGGGGTTATATATACTACCTATTTCAAACATTATGTTAAAATAAAGCTTGTTCCCCAGAATTTTGCAGTGAATAGGGAGAACAAGTGCCCTGAAGTTTTTCGTATTTGTACATATCTTCATGCATGCCTACTTTTATGTCCAATAAAGTTGTATTTATTTTATTACAAGTTACAGCTTTTACAGTAAGGAAGATTTGTTTTTACAACAGGTATGATTTTTCAATCACTAGTGCAATCACTCTCAAGAGAATGATTACACCAGTGATTGGAACATCGTACCTATTTTAAAAATAAATCTTCCTTACTGTAAAAGCTGTAACTTAAAATAATATATAATAGCAAGTAAACTCTTTAAAAGTGTGTTTATTTGCTTAATGTCAATCACTGCACAGCTCCTCCTTCTTAAACCAAAGTATTTTCTGATTTGTTTGCCTGCCCTTTCACAAGTGATGTCTGTTATCGTCTAACTTTTGCAAATGTGTAGCTGCAGTATTAGCTCAGATGTTTTGTTGCCATTTGAAGAAACTTTCCAAAATACATAGTTCCATTTCAGTATCATATACAGTTAAGTAGATGTGCAGTTTGACTAATTGTTTAGTGGCAGATTGCATACCCAGCTCTGCCCTTCTTGAAAGCTGAACATATCCAGTGAAAGCCTACAAGTAAAAGTGAACTCTCAGTCCATAATTTTCTTTCTCTTTGAAAATTTTGCAGGTTATTTTAAGGAAACTGCACTCCCTCTTCTTTGTTCTCTTGAAAATGTTGAGAACACGAACAAATTTTCTAACAATGAGCAAAATCTCTGCAAGGAGTTTCAGTAGTGTTCATTCTCCAAGAAAATTGTCGTAATACAAGGGAAGTGGATTGGAAGTGAGAAGGTGTAGCAGTCGAGTTGAGGAATTTGGCAGAAATGGCAAAATAGTTGTGTTACTTATTGTTCAAAGCAGCTCATTTCACAGTAGAAATGTGTACAAGATTTCTACTGTCTAAACTTGGTACATTTAATGCATTAAATTTAATAATAATCTTGAATTTTGCTTCCATGGAAAATAATATTCTACATCAAGAAGTAAGAAATATCCTAAAAATATTTTAATTATGAAATACTTCCTCTAATTCAGGCTTAAGTGCTTATTCTAACCCTAGTATAAACCCTAGTATAGTTAAATAGTATGAATCAGAAAAGAGCAAGAAACTTAAACACCAGCAATATCTTTATTCTCCACATTGTGTATTTTTGGTTGTTATGGGAAACAAGCCAAAATGCTGAAAAGTTTATTTACAATCTTTGACTTTTAGAATTTTTTTGCAGTGTGAGTTTTGTAAAATAGCTACTGCAGTAATGATAGAGGGGTTATTTTATAAAATATATTTATTTTTCAAAAATGGGAAAGTTTAATATGAATTTGAATTGCTTTTGGTATATTAATCTAGCATGCCAAGTTTGGTCTGGATCGGGTCAATTATTTTAGGAGATGTATCCACAGTCACACAAAAGTTTTCCTTGATATTGTATAGTTACTGCACCACTATGGCTTAATATTTATAGCTTGTATATGAAGAACGTATGCACCCCAATTTTTATACTTGGCTCTACTTCACTTTGTTTGGCAGAGCTAAATAATAGGGAACATTCTTTGGTACTTCCCTAAACTTAGCGCACAGTAGATGTGGGGAAATAAGTAAGTAAAGAAAATGATAATAAACTCAAACTTAGATTGTCAGAGTTACTTGGTGAGATGTACTGGAAATAAATGTAAAAAATAAAGAGAATATGAAAAATAACTTTCCTTAAAATGTATCATTATATTTATTAAACACAAAGTATTAAAAACAGAATTGAAATTGTGGAACAGTTTGTACATGTTCAAGAATCAACATATTTTATGTTCATTGAAATAAATCTCAAAAACTTAAAATCATTGCAAATATTTCTTTAGAACTCTCAAGCATTAACAATATCTTTCAAAATATTTGCATGAAACATAAATGCTTTTATATATCATAATCTATGTTAAGTTGTATAACAGTTTAACCTTGAAGTTGTGAATCTATGAACTATATGTAGATTAATGGATAGGTTGGTAAAATGCAGATTCTTGATGTAGTGGTATATTTCTTTTTATATATGTTTTTATATATCCTCCCCCCAATTATTCACTGATCTTGCACTTTCATCAGAATTCATTCAATTTATTATCTAGATAAAGCATGGAAAGGATGCATTTGTCATACTAACGACTGATGGCATCAACTTTGTTATGAATGATGATGAAATAATTAATGCAGTAAACAGTTGCCACTATCCACAAGAAGCAGCTAGCTTCATCGCTGACCAAGCCATGCAGTTTGCTTCGGAGGACAATGCTACTGCACTGGTGCTTCCATTTGGGGCATGGGGAAAGTATAAAAATGGAGGAAATATTACCATGTATAATTTTGGAAGAAATTTGTCTCGTAGTAGTAGATTTTAATAGTGCTAATTAAAAAACAAAAAACTGTATTCGAAAGATGTACTAAACTGATATTTTGGAAATATGTTCAGCCACATGTTTTGTCATTGTAATTTATGTTTATAGTTACCTTAGAATGATGAAACTTGTGTGAAATTTTCTTTGGATATATATACCACAAACACACACACACACACACATGCAAAGTTTACTATCAAAAATTTTGGTACAGGTACTTGTACTTGTAAAAATATTTCAGTTTAAAATAGTTTGTATAATTGTATATTTGTTTTGGAATGTGAAAGTGGAGTGACTGTAGAGACATTATATTGGTTTTATTATTAAGTTGTTATAAGAATCAGATACTTAATTGTATGTTACCTTGTATTGTTTATATATTAGAATCATTTGTGTTTTGAAAAACATTTATACAGGGGTTGGACAAAAATTACTAACGTGATTATCTTGCATTGGTAAGGTGTGAGACTTCTTTGACACTAAGTACAGCAGAAAACACAACTAGGAACAGAATTAATGAAGTATATAAAAGTATACTGTAGAATCTGGGCCCACTCTGTCATGAAAAACTCTTACAGTGGTTGAGGTATGTTGAAGGTCAGTAAAAGATTTGAATAAGATTCTCCAAGATAGCTCTAGGATGCTTAAATAACATTAGGCAGGCAGTTTACCTTTTATTATTACAACAGACATATGATTTAACCAACAGAAAACATCCCATAAACCTGATCTCTCATCAAAGATATGAAAGAATAAGTGATGGATTTTATGCTACATGTGAAGTTACACTGTTCATATTAAAGCTTACAGGGACTAAAAAGTTATTAATTTTGGGTAACTATGCCAGTATGTCATATTAGTACATTCAGTAGTCTTCCTTTTTTCAGCATGTTACCAGTGCTATATTCAGTAACTTTTCTTATGGCATGGCTGTCTGTTTCTGCTACTAATCTTTATAAACCCTAGTAGCAGTGAAACAAGGGATATACATACAAGTGGGGATCAGTAAAGCATTATCTACAGTGTAGTGTGAAGTCATGCTCTATCTGAGGATCATGCATCCTGACAATAATCCTACAACATAGTTTCTGTTGTAAGGCTGTCATATCTAAAGCCCATTTATCATCCTTGCATGCTTTCTATAATCAGTCTAGTATATGTGAACGACTGTTTTCCAGTGCAATGTTACAGAAGTTCACAGGTGCTGCAACTTGATTGGTGTGTTTAGAATAGTTTCAATACTCATTTTATTTTCCAGCTGCTAGAGGTATGCAACAGTTGAACAGATAACTTGTGGAAACAACTTGTCTACATGTGCCTTGTGCCATTTTTCAAGATGGGAATCCTTCTTGATTATGTTGTATACTGTTATCTGGGACATGTAGATGACTTTAGCCACTGATCTGTGTGTATATATATACTTGTCTGCTACAAGACACTGCAGTTTGGTTACCATGGCTAAAGTACAACTTGTCATGGGTCTCTTTCTGGATAGTAGTGGTGACTCAAGCTATCCATATTCCTTTGTTTTCCATTGACATTAAGTACAAATGATAACCTCATTTTGGAATTTCTAAATCTCAGATCTAAAGACATCTTTATGATCTGAGTGTATGAATATTTTGCACTGGAAAGGGCTTTAAATGATTTTTTGTTGTCATCATACTACCTTGAAATTCCAAACAATTTCTAAATGTAGCTTTGATAAATGTCATTCTACCACAACTTTATATTGGCTGTGGTTGTCACATGACTTGCTACTGGCACCTAACTTGCTGATTTGCATATTCAGAATTGTTTTAATATAATATGTACTTAACCCTTTTTATAGTTGTGTGTGTGTGTGTGTGTGTGTAAAGAAACGTATGTGTAAAATTAGAGAACAACAAACAAATATATAATTATTAATTGGGAACTAGAAAATGCTCATTCAAGCAGTCTAGCACTCTGTCAGTTTTACATGTTACTAAATACTTTAAAAATGTGAAACATCTCTTGAAGTTTTGTGTGATGGTTATTGATTAGTTAATTAACAATCATTTATAACCAAAATTAATAATTTTCGAAATGTACCTTGTTTTATGTATTCACACATGAACAAAATAGTTATAAGAAAAATAAGATTCTTCTAATTCTCCAGAAGTTGTTTAAAGGACAAATAAACATTTGTGTACAAGGCTTCTTATAGTGTTTTTACCATATCAGATCACATGGCTGGTTTCCTGACATTTTGTTTTGTATTAAAAAAAGAACACACACACACACACAGATGCAGTTGACTTTAATAACAGATCTGCTTTGCCACAGCTGAACTGCAGAACATACCCATTACCTCTTAATTGTTTTAAGCAGTGTATTTCAAATAGTATTTTTTATTCTAAAATGAAATGGATTTGTTTATTTTTCTATCTTTAAATTCCTGAAATAAACCAGTATTTGTATTTTAATAATTACCATATGTTTTAAAATCTCAGTTTGTAGTAAACCTTATGAAGAATTTGGCAATCATATTTTTCTGACTATACCCAAAATGGTTAATGATCAGAAATACAAATGATGGCATCCATCTGTTGAACAGTATATGCTATGCCAAAGTTTTCAAAACATATTCTTTTTAGTGTAGACCTCAGTTCAGTTTTTTCTTTGGTGTATTCATACCTGAAGAAAAAACAGAAAAAAGCAGACTGGCTGAAAGCTTTTGTATATTCTGTACTTGCATCACTGCTGTATTACTAAATTTAGAACAAACTAAAAACTTTTGATGTTTAGATCAATTATAAAGCTATACAGAATGTATACTGACAGACAAGATTTTGTTTAATTTATGGTAAATATCAACTTTTTGTGAGCTCTATTTTTATGATTACCTGAAGTAAGATAAGTTGTTATACTTTTAACAAAAACATACAAGACCACACTAATACTATTACAAATAATTTCTTGTTCAGCAACATCTTTAAGATTGTCTGTATCTTCAGAGGCTTGGATAAGTTTTTCATTATTTGTTGTAATGCCTCTTTCTGCAACTTTTTTGATGAATTTGATTCATGGCACTGAAGTTTGACCAGCTGTTGAAACAAGTGATGCTTAAAAGTAGCCAAAGTGAATTATGTGATATAACACTTCCAAGAAACGTGAAAAACCATTGATTGTTTATCAGTGGAGTTGTATGCTACAGGTGATCTGTAATTATAAGATATATATTACATCAAAAATATATAGTGTGTGTGTTCAATATATTATGGATAATGAAAAAAGTATTCAAAATTGGTAAAATGGCTTAGACACAATCGATGAAGGGTTAGAATATAAAGATATTCTAAATTATGTATGTACTCTGTATGTTCTAACCCTTCAATGATTCTGTCTAAGCCTTTTTTCTATGTAACATGGTTTAAACTGCCTGACAAAGGGCTTCTGCCTGAAACATTGCAAATAATATTAATAAAAGTTTTGTTATAGACATGTGTTTTACCAATTTCGAACACTTTTTTTCATTATTTTTCCACATCTTATGTTATTTTCTACTGTATATATATTATGAATAATTTTAATGGTCTATTAAGAATATCTAAAATTAGTACTTAATGTTTAGAATGACACGATTACATACAGTAAAAGCATTTACTAGGAACTTTGTCAGCATGCAAATAAACTTCAAAATATTATTGATCTGCAGTAACTATGGGTAAAGTAAAAATAAGTTGGAAAAAAGTGATTTCAAATGATTTGTGTTAAAGAAGACATGAAAGATTATCAGTCCTAAACCATTTCCTTAGGAAAAAGACAGATTAATTGCTAACCAAGGTTTTATATTTGGAAACTATCCTTTGTTGTTCAAGTAATGCATTTAAAATTAATTATATACAGTTTATTTGGTTGTGATGAAACCCTGGATGTATATCTAACTTGATACAATAAAAGCTTGAATTGTGCTTTATTAGAAATACTTTATCCAAATAAAACGTGAAGACTATAAAAAACTATTTTGGTGTTTCAAGATAATACTGGGATTAAAATGTGTAACTGTTATATATAGGTTTTGTTGTTAAATAATTATCAGTATCTAAAAATTGTTAAATATATTATGAGAAAAAGTAAGGTTTAAAAATCTTAATACATTAATATTACTACAGCATAGATTAGGCTAAAATATGCATTTACAGTACATATACTCATGAAAATAAATTCATCACAAGATTATCTTGTGCTTCCATTCCAGTGTTAACACACAGAATACACTGTTTGAAAACGTGAGATATTGAAAAATGCTTCTATAACTCAAAAGAATTGTGTATCACTAATTTTACTTGATATTCTTGTTTGTATTTTCAAATAAATAAAGAAAACAAAGTTAATTTTTTAAGTTAGTACATTGATTAGATTTTCTTAAGAGTCTTGTACTCTATTGTACTCTTTCTTAACAGAATTGTGGCACATAATACAATATTTTGCCAACAATATACAGTTTTATTGTTTCAAGAAAGTTCTCTACAATAAAATATAGAGATAATGTTATGCACCATTGAATTGTATCATCCAACAGAAAATTACCCACTCATTTTCTATTTGTTTATCATTTCGGTTCTCCTAATCCCATTGTTTAACCCATTGACTATGGCTGCTCTAAATGGACATAGAATTTTTGCAAGTCCTATACTGCACATTTGTAATCAACTGCTGGAGGCGGACCATACACTATACAGCAAATCAGCAGTAATGGGCATATTAGTAAATCCTACAAATTCAAATTCTATCATAAACAAAAGCTTATTAATTATTTTATTATCAAGAAATGATTGGTTGGTTTAAGTAAAAACCTGCACAATGGGCTATTATTCTCAGGGATCATCTTCTGAATTTTAACATTATATACCCTCAAACTTTCCACCAAGTCACTGGATTAAAATCATAAATAATATTCAACGTTAAACTGGTACACAATTAAAAACATTTTATGAAGACCATAGATAGGCCTAAATAAAATGATTTTAATTGTGTACCAGTTTAACGTTGAATATTATTTATGATTTT